AATAATCTGTGGTCAGAGGAGACAAAAGTAGAACGAGTTGCAAGATGTGAGCAATGTTCTATGTCCACTTTTGCAGGATTCTCTTAAACAAAAATGAATATTTCAGTGTCCTAGTCAAATTCTGGACTTAAATCTGATGTGACATTATCATTTTAGTATTTATTTATTTATTTATTTGTTTTTTTTAAAGCAGTGACCCTAATCAAGAAGGGTTTATGGTTGGGTATGACAGTGTAAATTGTGCAGATTCATTGGGTATTACAAAAAAAAAGGTGATCCATCAATAGTCGTATTTTAAAAATGTCTTCTTTTTTGTCATTTGACGTCTTAAGGAGTCAGCTTAAGGTGACTGTATGGGTGAGTTCACTTCCCTTATTCTGATTTCTGACTTCTATTGGGTGTTGCAGCAGAAATCCTAAAGGAAACATCACTCTCATTATTAGTAAGAGTTTTCACCCATGTGGAGTGGATCCTCTTTCTTTTTTGATAGTTTTGTTGTTAGTTCTGAGTCATGTTTCAATAATAGACCTGACAAAAGGAATATTATCCATGCTGGATCTTTTTACAGTTATTCTGTGGTAACATCATGAATGTGCCATGTATGCTTTATGTATTAAAGAACCTACATCGAAAGGAGGGTAAAGATATGCCAGGTGAAACCTCTTAATGATAAACCCACTCAGAAACTCCATCTCCAACAAAGAAAAGCAACTTTTTCAGCCTTTGTCGAAAGCTCCGTCTACGTCTGAGATTTAGTTGCAAGGGCATCCACGTTTTTGGTATGTAATTTCACGTTTTCAATTAATTTCTCGTGTTGTGTGTGGGTGAAAAAAACCCCAACAAAATGACAAAAAACCCAACAAGAACCATTCACGTGCGACTCATTACTATCAGGTAATCAATATCGCTCCTTTCCTTTTGTCCCAACAAAAATGGCTCCAGGTTTTGTTACATTAGAACACAGCATATTTCTTACTGGGTTTTCTTTTTTCCATCAAGTATAAATACATCCTCATATTAAAACACTATATTTGAGAACATGGGCACAGCTACTGATAAGCAGCTTTGTGTTAATATTCCAAAGCCTGGCCTCCTGGGCCTCCTGGGCCTCCTGACTAGTGTTTCCATGTTATTGTGTGTGTGCTCCTCATTTTCCTCCATACCCTCTGCCTGTCGTCACGTGATAACTCACACCCAGCCTGGTTCTGCTGGAGGTTTCTTACTGTTAGAAGAAGATGATTTCTTCTTTCAATAGGTGAAATGAATCATTGGGTCATTTTCTAATCGCTGTAATAATCTAAACTTCACGTGTATGATGATGCACTTGAATAGGAAGAAACCCTGTTAGAGATCAGACTGTATTCCATTTTCCTCAATTAAATGATCTGGAAAAAATAAAGGAAAAATTTGTTTCATTTTCTAATCAACATAAGGGAACACAGTGGCAATTCTCCTTCTAGACTACGTTTCATTTGTCTTTGTCTGCCTTTACGCTATTTTACATATTTTATCGCATTTGCAGATGTATGCTACTGCTGACTCTGATTTCTCCAACAGTTAATTGTTATAGACCACATTATACTCTCCCAGCATAGTCAACTCTTCATTCACATAAATTCAGATTATTAAGATGTTTCTCTTCTTTTCTGTCCCACTGTGAGGTTTTTGCAGGTATTTCTGGTTCTGGAAACAGGCTTCTCTGATCACTTCTGTCATTTTAGAAATTCTGCTCATGAAATTGTTCAGGAGTTATAGACGTGCCCCTTACGTTTTTATTTGTATGGATTGTACATTTTTTAATGTCACTTTTTTGCGCTCTCTTGTCTTCCCATATAAGCTCAACGGAACAGAAATCTTCTGTTTCTGTTTTGACACAATTTTACTGTGTAAAATATCTTCCACAGAAAAACCATAACATGAAATGAATCATAGTTTCAGCTGTATAATTTGATAAAATTGATAACATTGATAACACAAACTAAAAATATAAAATGTAGCTAAATGTTTTGCTCACTTTAGAGTTTCTTTCTTTAATCAATAACACCCAAAAGTTAATATTTTCTTCCTTCTTAGTTTTCTTGTTGGTTCTTTTTTTTCCAGAAAACCATGGAGAGGCTTACTTACGTATGTTTGTTCAATAGCGGCCTTTGCAAGGCTAAACTTGGCAAGTGAACGATAAGGACATTAACTACAAAACTCATTAACTTGAGTTTATCACAGACAGGAATTGGGAAGTCCCTTGATTTCTCACAAACACCACTGAAGCCCTTTGTGGGCATTCAAAATGTACACGTTAACAAGTCGGTCAATTCATCGGGCGGCCTGGTGATAAAACCCCAACAAGCTTCTTTTGAAATGATTTACAATAAGTAATTAACCTGCTTGACAGATCAAGGTGGTGCAATTACAAATATCTACGGGAAAATCCGCGCTCTTTGACTTCAACAGGGAAGCTTTTTCTGTATTTACTCAAGTTATCGAAACTTTAAAATGTGTTTGATGATCTGAAACATTTATATGGGCAAAGGGTAGTGAAGAAATAAAACTGAAAGGAGGACATACTTTCCTCACAGCACTTTATCTCATAAAGAATATATTACACATCACTTTTATATTTTGGGTCAACTAAATCCTTTTCTTATATTTTTGGGGAAAATATCTTTAATATTTTTGAAGATTTTAGAGGACACACAACATCAAAGTCTATTTATTCAGTCATGGTCTTTTGACTAAAATAAGACTTTCCAAGCACTAAAATAAAGTCTTTGAGTCATCACTTGTCATTTTTCTTTTGCAGACTAAATTTAGTAGCTGAATGTCATAGAGGAAAATTCTTTTGAGGTAATATTACGTCTTTCAGGAAAATGACTCCCTTATCCTTAGGCAAACTAATGGAGTTAAATTAATGCTTTGACAAACAAATTAAGTTGATTACTTCCAGTTCAGTCTGACACTGCTTACTTCCTTGGAACTGGTGTGGGTTTCTGCTCTGGGTCCAGTCAGCTCTTTTTGCTAGAAGAAGCATCATTAGCCTCAGTTCAATGCTACTCACTCTGAACATGAAGGGGTTGCTAGATGTTTGCATGGACATTCTCCTCTTTGGGATTAAACTGGAAGAGGGTGAATCAAGCTGGTACTATTGAATTTCAAGCAAGCCGATCAAAAATGTTGACTTTACTAGACCCATGTTTTGGTTCTGAATGTCGGCTGGTCTGCCAGTCATTATTTTTAAGCAGAAATCTCACACAGAGGTAGAACAGCATTTTAGGAACTTATCATACAAAGGGAAATTGTTATACCTTCAATAAAATTTTTGTTTTTTTTTCTGGGTGGGGCAATGTTTTAATGTCATATTACGAAAAAGCTATTTCAAAATTCTAGGTCATAGATGAACATCTGTTTAGGTTTATGTGTATTACAGGTGAGAATTTTAGTAACATTTTATTTGACAGGTGTGCATAAGACTCAGATGACACTGTCATAAATAGGGCCGACCCAAGGCATAGCAAAGAAAGCAGCCACTTGGGGGCCCAGGCCCACAAATGGGCCCCCAAGTGGAGTTGATTTTTTCATTTGTCTTTTTTTTTAGTAATAATTTCTGTCATCATAATATCAAAAAAACACACAATTTCACTATAAAGTGATTTGTTTTTACAAATGTAGATATAATTATTTTATGGATAAAAAGAAAAAAAAAAAAAAAGCTCTTGGGGGGCCTCTAGTGGCCATGGTAGGTACCACACGCTTCGCCTGTAACGAGTTGCTGTGGAACCAAACGTCCAAAGCTCAGGTCAGAGGTTAAATTAGCAAAACAATGTCTCAAAAAGGACTTATACTTCAGTGAGGGAGAAAAGAAAGAGAGAATAGAAAAATTATGATATGAATTATTTTTTTTGTCTGAAATGTCACTTCTTTTACCAAGAAAGTCACTGAGTTGGCAACAGTTGGGTGAATATTGTTCACTGCAAATGTGCAGACCTGATGGGCTGGTCTGTCAGTCAAACCTCTCACTGTAGAGCAGAAGAAGTCAGAGACTGATTTATAAATCTTTGCTTACGAAGATAAGATTAGGGGATAAGACGGGCTTCACGTCTAAGTATTGACCGATCACGATCCCCCAAAATGAAGGAAACCGGCGCCCAGAAATCAACTGGCCAATAAATGTATCCTATATTATACATGTATATAATGTAAACAGCACTGCCAGAGATGCAATAATTGTATAGCAGGTGTGTGAATGACCTAATGATTGGACTGCTCAATACAGCCAGTCCATAATGTTAGCAGAACTAGAGGGCCCCAAAATCAAAATGAAGGCTTGGGCCATCCTTGATCATAAACATGACATAACACCTGTTTATTCAGGAGTCCTTATGAATGTCTATGACTGTCATAAAGTATCATTTGGTAAATAAAGACACTTTTAATGCAAAATTACTCTAAAAGTTGCATTGCAAGTCCATTAAAAATGCCAACTTTGCATTCAATTGTCATTATTTACAAAATTATTTACAGAATGGTTTTTATTTCTTGTACAATAGCTTAGGTTTAGTTAACTCAACTATGTTGTGCTGAGAGAAAAACAGTTCAGTGTTTTGCTGAGAAATATTTCACTTTAGTATACGGCAAGATCGCACACCACTCTTTGCCTTCTCATTCCACTCATTCTCATTCTGCATGGAGAAGTATGAGAGGAAGATGAAGTTCCTCACACTGCTCTTATCATCTTCTGCTCTTATCATCTTCATCCGTCCTTCTACCCAGCTGATCATTTTAATCAGATAATCTGTCTGGGATTAACAGGCTAAACATTTTTGAAGCAGACCTTCGACTATTATTGATAAAATGATGAATGAAAGATGTAGCAAAGCGATCACGGGAAAATACACGACTGGAAAGAAGATGAAGTTAATTCTTTACTGAAAAATCACACACCCAAACAGCAGTTTAGGAATTCAGCATGTTTATTAGAATGGAAATACACATACAAATATGCCACTTTTGCCAAGTACAATATGTGAGGCTTTGCCTGAAACAAGTATTTCAATAAACAACTGATTTAGCCATACAGCATATATACATATTAAATAGTTGCACTATGTAACACTAACTAAACACATCCTATTTTGACCCAGTCTGTTCTCCTCTAATGATTTAATTACATTCTTTTTTCAGTCACATTATAGATTTTTTTTCTAGACTAAATATTTTCCCTGTGTTGATTCGAGAAACTCAACCTTACTCAGCAGCAAGCATTTAATGTTCTTTTTAGGTAAAGGAAACTCTTTGTGATGATAAAATATCTTTAATATAAATATAAAGTTCAGTATATTTTTTTTGTCGCATTTTGAGGTTACTTTGCACTAAATAGTCAGACTCTGTTATTTTCAAGTGTAGATTTGAAAATCTTCATTGCAGCTGTGAGAGTAAGTCGTGGCAGTCGTCAAGTCTGTCCAGCCCGTCCACCGCCTCAATTAGCCGCTCAATCTTCGCTGATGGAAGCACCACTTCTGCATTGTTCCTGAACTTCTTCCTCAGGCTCTCGTTGGTCAGCGGGTTGCGCCAGTGGCCGTAGAAGGTATCACAGCGTCCCTTCAGAACGTCTCCTCCCACAAGCGTCACCTGGACCTCCCCGTACATCAAGTTGAAGTTTGCGGGGTTGTCGTGGGGATGCTCCAGCCGAACGCGGCTCAACAGAGCGTGGAGCTCGGGGCGGCTAATGGCGCCTGGCGTGAAGGACTGGACGGTCACCTCACCATCCAGGAGAGCGCTGCAGGCGTTAAACTGGAAGGAGTGGCGAGCTTCATGCTCTGACTCAGGAAAAGGCCTGTTGATGTACTTAGAGAGCGGGACTCTGAGCAAGATGTCCTGGACTTGATCTGGAGAGACCTTTCCAGGACCAACGCCCACTAGAAGCTTATGGACAGAAGCTGCAGCATCTGCCACCCAGTGCATCCCCAGATGGGCGGGGAAGCGCTTGAAGCCCATGTCCTGCTCCTCTAACAGGAATGCATGACCATCATGGGGTGAATCTAAGGGCTGTGGCATGTAATCTTCATAAAAAGCACTAAAGCCTGCTACTCCTGCAACAGCATCCAACACCAGAGGACTGGCCTCGAGGCCTCTGGATGCCAGAAGTGCAGCTTCAAGCCCAAGGCGGGAGGCGTTGCCGATGTGGAGGGGTTTAGACTGAGTGGCAGCGTTAGCCATGGGAGCTCCAGCCAAGGAAGCAGCTATCGCCAAGGCATGACCGCACTGAGAGGAATCCAGAGACAGGAGGCGAGCACAGGCTGCTGCACTTCCCATAGGACCGACCACAGTGGGAGGATGAAACCTGACAAAGGACACACACAGACCTTTTTGTAAATAAACATTCTTGTGACGAAATGAATATTTTTAGATTACATGTGTTAAAAACATTAACAACACAATCAGACCTCTTGCTAATGGATAAGGTGTTTTGTTTATTTGACTTTCTGGTATTTTATGAAGAAAACAAGTGCAGGGTGTGAAGTCATATGAGTGTGCAAATCACACAGTATTTTTCCTAGTCTTGGCTTACTGTGCTAATGCTTCAGAGTCCACGTTGTTCCTGAGATTAAGATCATGATGTTCCATTCTGAGCATAACTACAACTGCATATAGCACCTCAGTGACCATTAGTGCTCTTCTTGTGCTGAGATCAGCACAGGAAGTCCATAAACTCATATGGATAAAAGTAGAATAAGCTACATATAAGGAGGTCTGTGCTGAGTAAGTTTTATCTTGATGTAACTTGACTGCAAGTCTGAGGAACAGACCTTTTAGGAATATTGCGGGCCTCATTGGAAAACCTCATCAGGCGGCCCTGGATCTCAATGCCCACATTAAACGCGAGTAAGAAGTCCAGACCGCTGGGTTTCTTGCTGGCTGGCATCATGTCACTGAGCGCTAACACAGCAGGAAGGACGGCCCCTGATGGGTGCGTTGCTGGATGCCAGGTGTCGTCAAAGTCCATGGAGTGAGTCTGGAAGCAAAAAGACTTTATTCATTAGATGCTGATGAATCAGAGTAAATATGAAAGCAATTTATAGCTCAGTTGACTCAGATCACCTGTTTACACTTGGTAAAGTGTGTATTTGTCTGGACTTGGCGTATTTAGAAAGGTAAAATTACTTAAACTGCTTCCCGAAGAAACAAGCTCGATGTTCAGTAACAGATGTACTCATGGAAATATTTAGGGCCAGGTGGGTTGTTTTGATTTTAGTAAACCAACTGTGTTGTTTCAGGAGCTAGACTGCAGAAACAGGTGAGTTGAAGCAGTTCCTGTACCAGAGACCAAACTTGGTCCAGTTCCTCATACTTACCGCCACTCCATTGACGAAAGCAGCCAGGGTTGGGGAAAGCCGGACGTTGCTGCGGCCGTACACAGAGCTGATGAAATCAGGCGCATACATATGCTGAAATGAAAAGATTTTAGTAAATGATCTATTGATTTTAGTTCTGACCAAAACATTTGTAATAACCAGAGATCTTTTACTCCTTTGATCATTTGTCCCCACACTGAATCTCCCCTGCCTCTGTATTTCTACAGGGTTACCGATTTGCACATTGTTAATAGAGACTTTGATTTACCTGGCAGTGCTGCAGGGCCAGATCAAAGACATCTGTTGTACTTCCAATGAGGCCGACCCCAATGCTGTCCAGCACCATCCTTTTACTGCGCTGGAGGACAACCGGGGACAAATGCTGGGGCTTGATTTCACTGATGAACTGCCCAAAACTGGCTGTGACTGTGTCCTCCTGAGCTGGATGCTTCAGGACTGTAGCAAAGAGGAGGAAAAACAAATGTTGGTTTGCGTGAGCTCAAGAATGTGGTGGAACACCAGCCATATTATTATTATTATAATTTTGCAGCAGAAAATTAGAAAAAAAGCAGAAATTCTTACTCTTCACCGCAGATTGATGTGCTCCTCTGGCAGCCTGAACTGGCCGGATGGTTTTCTGCAGGTGAAAGACAAAACACTTAGTTACACCTGTGTTTTTTTGTTTCTGACATTTAAAGTCTTAAACAAGAAACCGAGACCACTGCTGTCTCTTTTTTTGACCCTATGTGTCTCAGAGTGGACTTCATTCAGGTTGCAACTGTAATGGACATCAATCTGGACCTTTTCCTCCTCAAAGAGCTGCTCTCTCTCAGAGTTGTAACAGGTGTGGGTTAACAAGAACACCTTAAAATACCTTCTTTACCATTTACTCTCACTACAAAGACTTCAAACAATATTATGGCTAAACATGAGACAAGTTTTATCATTTAGTAGATTCATAATCTAAACCAGAAGGTAAAAAAAGTTTCTACACTTCACAAATGTAGAAACAGCTTAATTCTTACCTGTAGCACTGAGAACATGTCTTCAACTTGCTTCTGTCACAGAGATTTCCTTTCTTTTTTTCTTCCAGCAGCTTTTTTCCAAAGGATGCTGATGCTTCTCTGGTGGTAGGTAAACCTGCCTGCCTTATATAGTCCAGGACACACAATGACCACAAAAAAAAAAAAAAAAAACGGGCTGGGCAGGTGTATCTGTGACAAGCTTTCGTCGAATCAAAATGCAGAGTTTCCATAGTAGTCATTGTCCCTCTTTGTCTCAGAGGGGATGATCAACTGGGAGGAGGAAGCAAGAGTCCAAGCTTTGTGCAGGGTGCAAACAGTGATGTCACCTATCCCTGAAGACTGTGTAGTTGAGTTGGGGAATTTTTATGAACTCCTCCTACAAACTGCTGAGTCTTATTTAAAACAAACTTTCACACAGCAGCACAAATCAACACCTCATCTGTCTGAGGCACATCGCCAGGTAAGACTTCACTTACTTGTTCTGATATTAACAAGAGATAAACCTTTGTCACAGCATGACAATAATTTTGAAGTCTAAAATTATTAATAGAACTGGCAGATATAAACTTTAAATTATTTTTATTCAACCAAGAACTTTGTTTTTGTGAGGAAATGAGTTAGTCTCCTTTCGAAATATAATAAAGCAACACAAAAGAGTATAATTTGAAAAAAGTGTAGGTTTTTATTTAGATCATAATTATTTTTTCTTTCTTCAAGTCTTTTCAAGTTTCTCTCCAATTGAATTCAGGACTCTGGTTTGATTATTCCAAAATGGTTATACTACTTAAAGTAAGACAAAACTTGTTGGCAAAATGAAAGAAAAATACTGTAAGCCTACTTTTGCCAGGGATAGGATTATTTTGTATTTCACAGCAGTTTATAACTTGCTACAAGAAGAAAATGAAAGCATTCACAGTAAAAAGGGTAAATGTGTTTGAAAGTAATGTTTTACTTTGGAGTAAATAGTTTTTGTCATTTGTGACTCTGCCCACTCAGACGTGGGCAGGACAAGTAGGTCTCAGATCCGTATGATCATACAGATAAGACAGGAAAGGCTTCAGGACAATAGACTCTTATATTTAGAGAGAATTCCTGGAAGACATAACAGAAAGTGTAAAACTATTCTGTGCTCCAACTAGTGAAACATTCTGATTTCATTTGATGCTTTTTGTGCTCTGGAAGACATTGGTTTATGATATTTATTGTCTGGTATGTGTCATTTTTTATGTTTTATTTGACTGTAGATAAAGGACAAAAAATGGCTGCATCTGATGGGTTTCCTGCCAGTTTCTATGGGGAACCGGGAGTTTTAGGCATGTTGTCAAATGGGATCAGCGCATTCCTTGTACTTCTGCAGAACTTCAACACAGCTCACAGTGGCAACACTCCAGTTGGAGTAGAGAACATTCTCGCAGGTAAAACTGGATGCAAATAACTAAAGTATTTCCAAAACAAAGATGCTCTTTAAGAGAGCTTACCCCCAATTTGCAACGTTTTTTCCAGGTGTACATCTCATCCTGATTGGCGGTGTATGCCAGCTGGTGGCTGGGCTGCTCTCCTTCCGTAAATATGACCACCTGAGCGGCACCGCCTTCATTGGCTACTCTGCTCTTTGGGCTAGTTATGGTGCAACTAGGATCTACTATGGTGCCCTGCCTGAAAGTCCAAATATGACATTAATAATAGATCCAATGATGAGCAATTCATCCATCAACATGATGAGCAACGTGTCTCTTAATAACTCCACGCAGTGCTATTTATGTCTGTCCATGAAGGAGTCAGCAATTGCTGGTCTGGTCCCCTACATCATCCTGTCCTTTCTTCTTGCGTTTTGCTCTGCCACGGTCAACTACATCATGCCTTTTGTCTTTGGAGCCATCACGGCCACCTTGATCTTTGAAGCAGTAGCTTTAGTTGCATATTCCTGGGCTCTGATTGTCTCTGGGGTTCTGGAGTTGCTCATTTTAATCTTTGCTATCTATGGTTCAGCGGCTCTTCTCATCAAAGGTCTGACTCAACGTCTAGCCCTGAAAGGTTTTGGCACCCCACTCTTTAATGTTCTCTTACTAGGGACACCCAACTCAGGAAAAACTCAGAGTGGAGGCCAGGAGAAGAAGAAGAACACAAAATATGCAGAGCCAATGGCTTTGGGTTTCTTCTGCGACTCCATTGCTCCATTCATCTTTGCTTTCTACAGCTTTGGGTACATGAAATCATTTGGTCTAGGTGTTGCCTGGGTATCAATCATCTCAGTTGCTCAGTTGTTCTCCAGCTACTATGCCCACCTGCGTCAAGATTGCTACCACACCACAAAGTTTGGGTTGCATGCCACATATTGGCTGATCAAAGCTTGGGAGGAGTTTGTTGTGTCTGTTTTAATAGTGGAGGACAGTAAAGTTGTCTCTGGAAGGAATGCAATGGTTGGAGACTGGTTCTTTGTGGTGGCAGCCTTGGTGCTCTTTGTAGGGAGCCTGAACATGGACGTCCTAGAATTGATCCATAACTTGTTCTTTGTCCTGGTCACAGTCTCCGCAGTCCCTCAGATACCCCTGCAGGGTTATTACATCTTCTTTGGAGTAGCTTGTTCTCTCTTCACTGCAGTCTCAATCTATGGCACCTTCACCCGTCTCATCAACACCATTGCAGAAAAGTCTCTCATACCTGTAGGACCACAACCAGTGTCTTCTGAGCAGATGATTAGGGCTTTGAGCTGTGGAAGGTCTAAACAGGGAGATCAGGATGTGCTTCCCCCAGGTGATCAGACCTCAGATGCTCTGTTCTATCTTTCAAATGGGGTTGCAGCTTTGTCAGCTCTTCATTCAAGAAGGATGAGTATAAACTCTTCTCTCCTGCACCTGACCATCCCCTGGGTCCTGATCTCTGGAGCTATCATCCAGGCCTATGTCAGCAGGCTGCAAGTCACAGGAGGCGGCCGCTTCGGGTCAGTCATCTCTTCCATCTATGTTGTTGTCTGGGCAACGTGGACATGGTTTAGATTTGCAGGTATGTTAATGCTAATAGATGAACATAATGACAATATCTGCTGCAATTTAGATGGGAGTCTAATCTCCAATCCCTTTTATTCAGGTGACCAGCTTCAGCTCTCAACCGAGGCCAATTATGGTTTTGCTGCAGGAGCCATTGCCTTCCTTGTCATCAATGCTTTTCTTATGCTGATTGGTAAGTTTTATCTTTGCATTTTCTGTTGTCAATACTTCTGTCTGTTTGTTTTGATTATTATGGTAATCTTCTGTTAATTGGTCCAGCTGCTTATAGAAACCTGGTTCTTCTGTTCCTGACAACACTGATGGAGGTGGTTCTTGTTTGCTTCCTTCTCTCCACCCTGAACAAGCTGCCATATGAACTTGAAAGTAAGTTATCAGGAGCCACATATAATAACAAGCACCAGATACTTAAATCTAGATGGATCTTTTCACCTTTTCATCTCAATTGATGCACCTTTGACATTATTTTGTCCCACAGTTGCCATGCTTGCATTGGTGTCTCTCATATGCATATATGGCACTTTGGCGTCACTGATAAACTTTATGTTCTCACAAAGAGTGTTGCCACTGGGCCCTCCTCTCTTTAAGGTAATTACTCTAATGACAAATTGTTTGATCCACTAAGAATTTTCAGATGAATTATGTTGAACATTTCCTGCATCATCTGTGGTTTCAGGAAAAAATGAAGTCAGAAATATCTGAGGAGCTTCCCTGTCCGGTGGCTAACTCTCGCCTCACAAGCGGCCTCTTAAAAATAGCTGAGCTTCTGGAAGAGGGAGGCGTGTGCGGTATTCCCACAGACACTGTCTACGCTCTGGCAGCCTCCTGCAAGAATCCCCAGGCTATAGAGAAAATCTACAACATTAAGGTAAGACACGAATACCTTTCAAGCACAATGTGACATTTAATTTGTATTTAATTTATGGAAAAGACATCAACATAATGTTAAACATGGCTCTCTTCCAGGACCGGCCAGCAGAGAAGCCTATATGCATTTGCATTTCTAGTGTAGAGCAGCTGGTGGCAGCTAAGCCTCCGTTCAGCCCTCTGCTGTGGGAGTTCATGAGGAACGTTTATCCAGGAGGCATCAGCTGCATCGTCAGCAAAGGAGACTGGCTATTCAAACTAGGTAACTATTGTGATGTTGTTTTGTTAATGCTTATATTTGCCTTGTTTTAATGACAGTTTGATCTCAGATAAATAAAATAAAAGCCTCACCTCCAACGTCAACTTCTTCTTCTGCAGGAGTTGGAGCAGCTTATGATCGCGTTGGCACCAGGGACAGCATCATGATCCGTGTTCCTGACCACACGGTGACGTGCCACTTGTGTGACATGACTGGACCCCTCGCTATTACATCTGCCAATCCCAGTGGAGAGCCAGACAGCACCCACCACAGTATGGTCATCAAGTAAGATACTTCAAAAAGTACTTTAAAAAGAACTGTAATAAATGCTGGTCACACATCATGGTACTAAAACCATTGCTTTCTAAACGTGCAATTTTTTTTTCTTCTACTCTCTTTGAATCGCAGTCGACTGGGGCACAAGATACAAGGGGTCCTCTGTGACGGGGACTCCAATGAAGTTGTTGCTTCAACTGTGGTCAACTGTCTGAGGATTGATGAAGGTAAGAGTAATCAATTAACGTCTCTCCCACTCTCTGTCATTTTTACCCCGCACACTCCAACGGATGTCGCTCCCACTTTTCATTTAGGCATCATCACCATTGTAAGAGAAGGCTGTGTCCCTGCGGTTAAAGTTCATCAGATCTTCGAGAGGCTGAAAAACACCATGTTGTGAGCGTCTCCTTCCAGAGGACTTCTTCGTAGCTACATTTGTGGGTCAGCACCAGAGCAAATATTTAATACCACAGCTTTGTTTATATAAGGTATTCTGTCAGTGTAGCTGCCAGTGGAGGTTTTGGAAGTGACTCTTGAGCCTAGAAATGTAATGTTTATTTTGACTCAAAAAGCTTCCCCTGAGATATTCTAACTTATTAAAAATAATGCTTCTCTGTCATGTTATAATGAAACTTCATTTTTTATTATTATTGTTGTTTGTAATAATATCTAAATATATTTA